AAAATACGAATTGAGTCGAAGAGTTGACTGACTTCCTTAGTCGTTTGCTCGGAAATCATTTTTTAGCACTTGGAAACAGAAGTCGAACTCTGTGCCATTTGTCCTTAATTAAAATAGAAAATTGTGGTAGGGCAAAAAATTCTAATTAAAATCGCAATATTTGAAATATTCTGTGAATTTTTCACAGTCGACTTGGTAGTTTCATCAATAGTTTTTAGCTTAACAATTCTTACGAATTGTTTACAATTAGCAGTTATTATCGTCGGGGAGAGGAATTTCTTGAGGACAGAGGTGCAAATGAGATGGCCGCCCAGGTTTTAATTTTAACGACATGTATGCGAATAGAAATTGAAAAAAAGCGTACTGCTTGTCCCTGGCTCTTAGAAAAAATAATTCAAGTGAAAATCATTCATTTTCGTTTTCACACTTTGTAAAATATAATATTAATTTGGCAAAAAAGAATTATCTATATAATCATACAATAATTTTGCAAATATCTTGCTAGGTGATAAGAAAAAATGTTGCTGCAAAGCATATGTTAAGATGCTGGTGATGCTACTGACAGTTTAATTTTACTGATATCATGGTTTCTAATGAATAGATAGATACTGATAACCAAATTGATAATGAATCGTTTTTCTTTTTTGGTCACCGTGAAGAAGCCCTGGAAACTGAAACGATGGTTGATCTGTATTTTTATCTATTTGAAAATCATATTTCGTGATAACTGGCTGATATCATGAATGCCGTAATGAATGTCCTCTTCTCGTATTTTTATTAATAATTTTATGCGCCTGGAAAAATCATAATATCCCTCTAATAATATCCGTCCATTTTTCACCTTTTAAACACCATTTTATTCCTTTATTTTTGTGAGTGAGGATTTAATGAATAAAATATTCTAGCGAAAACTTTCTAATCTCTATAATTTGACCAAATCAACATCATTTTAGTGTTAACCGTGCTAATCATTTCTTTTTCAAGGAAATTTGAAGAATTTCGCTTGAATCTATGGTCAGATTGGATTGTTAATTTTTTCTGAGAATGCCTTCGGGCTTCGCTGGCTTGTTGCACTAGGCAAATTTTGCCAGAGAGCCACTTGATGTGCTAACCTATATTTCCTGCTTTCATAATCCTCAAGTTAATCATTTCTTTTAATTATCATATAAATTTTCCCTTAACAATTATGAAACATTTAGTTTCTCAAATATTTTTTAATTATGTTTTTTAAAAATGCCTTTTCAGAAAAAGTGAAAAAAAAAGATTCCTCGACATCAAATTTCATCTAAACAATTAAAATATTTAGTATGTTTAGCTTACGTAACATCATTTATATTTTTATATTTATGATTAATTGTTTATTGAAGTGTTGTGATGCAAGCAAGTAAAAATTTATATATTTTTTGCATAAAAATGAATCATATAGAATAAATAAAAATTAAAAATTTATTAGTTTCGAAGCTAAAGAGTCGAAATTAAAATTTTTTTCTACAGTTATTATTAGGCTATTAGGCTGTTAGGACGAAATAGGCCTCGCCCGGAAAGTCTCTTAGGGACAACTTCATCCAGACTTCACTTTAAATTCCAAGTTCATTAGAGTATTAGAGACATCGGTCGAGCCATGCTACTTTTCTAAGCAATATGCCATTTGTACTGCTCTCAAAGGACTTTCGATAGGTGAAGGCTTTTTTGGTCCTTGAACATTTGATCAGATTTCCTCAAATTCTACTGTTGAACAAATCCGTAAGAAAAATTAAGCGTCTGTCTCTTAATTTACTATCTCATGTAAAATATATATATTTATAATATATATACACTTATTCTTTCGCATTTTGTTGTAATGATAAAATAAGGTGATAATTGGCTTATGACTAATTATGAAAAACCGAATTATGATAATATTGAAGACCACATTTTTTCCGGAGAAAATTATCGTTCCAAGGCAATTCATATTCTTTAAAATAGATAAAAAGTGGTTCCTCTAGCTGTTGATATTTCGCTTCTTTTGGATGTAGGAGCGGAACGTTTTCGACTACTCGACTATTCTTCAGTCCTTTTTTTATTCATCTAATTCAATACCATTAGCTTCAATCTCACAAATAATATAGCATGTAAAATAAGCAGTGATTGACCTAATTTTTATCATGATCATTATTATCATTTAAAAATCCCTGTCATTCTTGGCACTTGGCTTCAGAAAACTGCCATTTCAATGGTTAGGCCATTTTTAATAGGCCAAAAAAATTTCTCATTCGTTTAAAATAAGAATTATAATTCTTCATAAATTTTTCCGTTTTCTTATTGTAATTGTTTTTCTTCAAAATTCCTGCTTAAACCGGACGACAAATCAATTTTTTTTAAGAGCACCTTCTATTACTGCTTAGACTCGCTCCGCTGGTCCAGAAAAAATGTCAGCTGGCCTTGACGGTCCAGGCAAACATGACTTTTGGTGATGGAAATATGGATGGTTGCTACTGCCACCCGAATTTTTGGCTCTTCTATGGAGTAGAATCGATGCTCCAAATCGAGCTAACTCACTGAGCCAATCTATTCTTTTTTGCTTTTTTCCTACTTTTTTAGGCGACATTATATGATATGATAGCAAAAATTGGTGCATAGGCGTGATCGAACCCAAGCCTCGACTGTTGATGGCAAGCTGATGAAATTCCAGCGAAATAGCACGACAAACTCAGATTGCTTCCGGAATGCCAGAGTGTTATTCGCAACAATCTGCAAACAACAGCGCTCATTCGCCTGAAACTGCAATGAATATCAAGCACCACAGTAATTGTCCGGTTGATTCAGAGATACGGGAAATCGAATTGAATTCCATACCTTCTCATATAACAATTTTTTTTAAAAAAGTTCTTCAATTGAATATACGCCACCACCAATGGTGCTGTTCTCATCAAGATTTTGGGATAACTGTTCAATTAAAGAGTTTTTTCCTTATCTCAGAAGCATTAATATTTACTTTCATTGTCTGGACAGGCGTGTATAAAATTGAAACATGCTTTATGGACTGCTTCAGGTGTGACACTTCCATTGTCCCGTGATTGCTGGCGAGATGAAAGCATTTTCAAGCATTTTTAGGCATTTTCAGATAGAAACCACTAGTAATTCATATCGATTCTTGTATCCCATGCAATTAAGAAATTGGGATATTGAACACATGGACCAATTAATCCAATGATAATCAAACTAGCCTCCTGTATAAGCTATATTGTTTGGGATAATTGTCAGAGATGCATGAGGTCTTGATTTAAATTATATTTTTTATTTATCTGAATGGCAATAAATCATTTTTTCATAAATATTTTATGCAATTTATTTACTAAATGCATTCAAAATTCTCAATTAAAAATATTTAATAAATAAATAAATAGTCTAAAATTTTATAAACGATGTTCTAGAGATAATTCGGCTCATAAAGACATTTTACCACAGGTCTGAGTATATAAGAAGCTGCCAGACCCTTTCGGAATGAGAACTGGTATCATGTCTAATATCACTATTAAACTGTATGATAAAATGGATGATGAACTAGTCGACACTCAAGACAAATACAATTCAGGCCACAGCATCGCATAACAGACCTTGAATACGCTGATCATGCAGTATTTTGGCTGACAATTATAGCAAAATGCAAACAATACTAAACAATGTGCCGACAACTGCAGCTAGAATCGAGCTGCTCCGGACCAATGTAAATAAAAGCCTTTTCAATTTGTAAACAAAAAGCTGATAAAATACTCATTTTTATCAATTGGTTAATAGTTGAGGAAGTGCCAGACTTTAAATATCTTAGATCCACTCTAATCCACTCAAACGGTCAAGGAGAAATCATAACCAGGTTAGTAGCTAAAAATGCGTTCTTCCGATTGACGAAACTTTTATGGGGACATCGCGAAATCACCATAAAGAAAAAAAGTACGCTTCCACATAGCTGCAATTCGCTCGATTTTTCTATATGGCTGCAAGACATGGCCAATGAGAGTGGAGGATATATTAAGGATGCTTACATATAGATATATTTTACTGGTTCACCAAGAGGAGAAAATCTCACATAACTGCATCCACCCTCGCTCAAATACTACTTGTATTACTAACAGTACTATCATAAAGCATTGCTTGCATACTCTTCGGCAAGAGTTGGCAAATATTTCGTTACTTGCTAAACCCTGTGATGAGTGGTGTCAAAAGCAAGAAGGGCTAATCAAGGTTTCGAAAGCATATGTTAACCGAGCGATATAAGGACTTGACTTGATGAAAAAGGTAATGGCTTCTATCACTATTGGCGATGGCTTCGAAACGACTTACCCTTAGAGCCAACCTAACCAGTAATAGTGTGGTAATAGACGTTTATGGTACCACATAGTAGTTCAGTGGACAAAAAATTCGGCGCTAACTAATCACCGCTAATTTGTGATACAATTGCAGCCATTTTCAGCCCTATGTGTCCACTCACAATGACAGCTGCAACCGCAAAGGCTGAATGTTAGTTACAAAGAGACAAAGGCGGGAAATGCAAATTTGTATATTTGAATGATGGAAAAATTTGAATGGTTCCGGTGATTGGTGCTTTTAGTTTGGTTTCGGTTTTATAGATTTTTTTCTTTCTTTAACTTAAATTTTGAAGTGAATTTATATAATTCAACTTATTTCAAAAGAGCTGATATTTCTGTTGGTAAAAAAAATTTACAAAAATTTTTTTCTTATTATTGGAAGCAATCGTTTCATTCCTTCTTTGCGGATACAGATGGGTCCAGTGGATCCATGGCACCGACCAGTTTTAACTTCTATTAGCAAAGCCTCCTTCTATTAAACTACCACTATAATGCTTGGTTTAAACGTTCTAAAAGACGGCGCGATATTAAATTTCATGAAATAGATGATCAGATTAAATTTGCATTAAAACCGTCTTATATCTAAATTTTTTCTCATTTAAGTTATTTTAAACAAAGATTTGATAAATTTGATAAATTTATCAGTTTGATAAAATGGCATTTTGGGATCGTCGTTCCTCAGTTGCAAGTATTAACTGTGGAGATCGATTGAAGTCTTCGACATCTCCTCTATTCGATGTTGCGTTCATTGTCGATTCGTTAAATTCATTCATACCGTCACTGGCTTTGACAGTTTCCGATATTACTTTACCTGTTGTGAGTCAATTTTTTTGCTTTTTTTCCTATTTCGAGAAAAAGTTTTAATTTTATAATGTAATAATTTGGCGTCATTTGCTCGACTGGCTTCAAAGAAGATTGTTTAAATGGTCACCGTCAGGCGGCTTGCTCGAGTCCGACCGGTGCAGCATGCTTCAGTGTCGTCCAATAGAGAGAGCAAAGCAGAATGCTTAGTAGTGGCTTGTTGTTGCTAAATTCGAAGAGCCGAGGTTTTCTTCCCGGTTGGAATTCGACAGTTTGTTTGTTCGATATACTTATGCTTAACCAAAGTTTACTATATTTTGAACTTGTCGTACATAACTTATTAAAAAATATTTATTTCAAGAAGATTATATAGCTGCGAGTTGGATTCATTTTTTAAATTTTACTAATCTTGATAATCATGACACATGATAACCATATGTAATATGCCTTATTCTAATGAATAATAATGTAGTTCTCTTTTTTTTTTCAGTCAGATAAGATTTGTCAAATTTATGCTTCTGTCTCGCAGTTTATCTTTGGCGTTCCTGAAAATATATTCACAATCCCGCCGTTTAATGCAGCACCCGATTCGGATCCTGAAATGTTTAGTAAAACTATTCCGAAATTGGTTATTTACAAAGTATTGTTAGTTTTTTGCAGATTTGTAGTTCTTTTTTATTCAGATCACTTTTCTCTTTTGATAAAACCATAGTGAGTCTTTATTTTAAGTGTTGTATAAAGTATTTTTTTCGTCTATAAAAGTATTTTTTTGAATATTCATGGAGTTCCTCAGGTTACTTGCAATTTTATTTTTAGATCGTCATTAATTGGAGATTGCACGGCAGGCCTTGGTAATTTTTCATTAAATGATTTGCTGGGGCCTACAGAGCGTTCTGTTCGACATATCCTCACTCTGCTTATTGATTACATTATTTTTTTACAGGAGATGAATAAGGTACTTCATTGTTTTTTTTCATGCATAATTTATTTACCACATTTTGTACTTAACATTGGAGCATTGTTTTTAGGTTATATTTGTTTGTTTTTACTTAATTAGAATTGATAGAAAATTTGGCTATTAGAACTTTAAATATTCCCAATATCTTGTAGCAAGTCGATGCAGTTTTTGGATTAGTTGATGCAAAGAAAAATGAGTTGACAGTACGGGAACGACAAATAATTTTATTGGAAAATGAAGTTGCTCAGGTGGATACTAATCTAAAGAATCAGAAAGAATTACAAGATCAAGTCAGTTCGTTCAGCGTTTGGTTCATTTATATTTTGTGGTTCGAAACTTTTGATAAGTAGGAGATATATAAGAATTATTTTCCTTCATTTATCATTTTCTTTCCAGGTTCGTGAAGAAAAACAGATAAATTCAAAAAATTTCGAAGAAATTTGTTCAGCCAATGAATTACTCAAACAACAGTGCAAGACTAATACTACGCTAATTACCGAAAGCGCCATGATGATTGCAAGTTTTTTTTTATTAGTTGGCATGTTCTGCTGATGTATGAAGAAAATTTAAATCGTTTTGGTCACGACTTTTTAGAATGAAATGCAAAAAGAATATGATTCGTTGAATCTTCAAAACGAAATTCTTATTACCAACATAGTATCTTCGCCGGATCGATTGAAAATTGAAGTTTCAACTTTGGAAAAGCAATTAGCGAAACATGAAGAAGAAAGGGAGAGTAAGGAGTAAATTACTTTTTATTATTTCATTAATGCATAAAATTATTACACAAGAGGTAATTAAATAAATAAATGAAATTAAATATATATTAAACATAATGAATGATGAATTAAATATCTTAAAATCACAAAATTATAATTATTAAGTTCGTTAATTTTTTAATTTTTCGCATTACAGGAATGAATATGCAAAATTAATGGACAAGCATAAAGTTTTGCTGCTAAATGAGCAACTAATTTGCAAACTAATCAACAGATTGAAAGGATTGTCTTCTTCTGAGGTTAATTTCATTAATTTTATATTATCTTATTTGTAATTTTTCTTTGAAAATTTATGAAATTTTTGTATATTTTGTATATTTTGGGTGGACTCGGCTGTATCTTCTAACTATTTTCAAACTTGGATAACCACATTTCATCGTCTTGAATTTAGTTCAGAATTTTCTTAATTTTTGTTTTAATTAATTACTTTTATTATTTATTTTTTTTATTTTGAATTCTGGTTACATTACTCGAATCTCCATCATTTTCCTTTAGGATCCTATTCCCATATTCTCATCATATTTTCTCTCGTTCCTTATCATGCTACCCTTCGCGGTTTTACAAAAGTGAAGGATTATGTCAAAAATATCAAGATTTTGAGGATGTTGAGCGAGTGCTTAATAGGACTAAGGAGATTTAGGAGATTTTAGGTTTTGATAAAATATGCGGTTATGGAATGCTGTTTTTTTTTCAAATATGCACATTACCCAAATATTTTAATGTAGAGATTTTAGAGTGATATGTGCAACAAGTCAGAGAAATTAAATAAATATAATAAGAAGGATGCAGAGGACAAAATAGAATTGAAATCATTAGCAATGTTAATGAAAGAAGAAGAAAGTAAAACTTGGGAGGCTTTAAAATCTTTCGACTGGAAACATAAGGAATATTCTGGCCAATTACGTCATTATCGAGAACTTTTATCTACTACAGAAGAGTTTTAAGCGTTTCTTATTATTTTATTATTTTATTCTCCTTTTTATTTCTTTTCTTTTTTTCTTTCTTTTTGCTTTTTGTCATTTCTTTTTGCTTAAAAAGCAAAAAAAAAACTTAAAAATGCCTCATTATAATAATTAATTAATTCAAACCAAGAAAGGTGCCATTAGAATAAAATGGTATACTGTAGGATGACGTTAATGATTATTTTTATTCATTTTTTATTTAATTAAATGGCCTTAAATCATCGTGTATAATCTTAATTATGTATAATTTTTATGACTTATAATAATAAACATATAATAAAATAATTGTAAGGCAAATTAACGCGCAACGTGAATGGTATCAAAACATCGACATCGAGAATATGAAATATCAGCGAGATTTGGCAAAAATAAAAGATGAACGTGCTACATTTTATCGAAGTGCAGAAAATGAATCACTGAAACTGGTAGTTCGACTAAATGCAGCCGATCAAAAGGTTTATATTAATAATTTGACTGTTGGACTGGTAAATTACAACTGGAAACAGATATATTTATTTATTTACGACTCATTGCGCTTTCTTTCTGGCATAATTCTGGCGTAAGCGAGCTAAATTTTATTGGATAATGGGATTGTTTTTTTAACCGCTTTGTTTTATAGATTCACAATGAAATTTTTCAGGTACGAGAAGAGGCAAATCAATGTTTTGAGGAATTAAAAAGACTGCGGGATATCATTGCGATGATTAAGGAGGCTTTTGATATCGCTGATGAACAATCAAATTGATTTTAAGTCAAATTAAATTTGAATATCGTTTCGTTTTGCAATATTTTTTTATTAATTTCATTCATTTTAAATTCATTAGTTTAAAATTAAATTCAAAAATTTTGTTGAAAAAATTTGTTGAAAGGATTTCGGTCATTTGCTGAAAAGTTCATTTGATATTTGCATATTTGGTTTTTAATTTGGTATATCTTAATCAATCAGTAGTTTCTTAGATTTATAAAAATTTTGGCTAAAATGACCGAAAATGACTTTTCTAGCTTTTGCTTTTGGACTAAAACTATTTCAGTTGGTAAATCATTATTAAAGTGCCAATAGAAGATAGCCGAGTTTATTGCTTTAACTGAGGCCAAACATAAATTAAAAGAGATATGAGAATGATGCTGCAAGAATCAATAGTAGAATCAGCCGAAGCAGAAATGATGCGCGTTGTTATATGCAGAAAAGGATTAGAATATTCATAAAATTTTCATAAATGTGGCGAATTTGATTGTCCTCATATATATTTTTTCAAAATCCATCAAGGTGAAGACTGTGTTTTTTTCTTTTTTTTGACTATTTTCGTTCGCCACTTCTAACTTTAGAAATTTCGATTTAATCTTGGACTTCATTTCAGCAGTTTTCTTTCGTTCGTTTTATTCATATAAATATATATATTTTTTGAATTTTAATTTATCGTTTAAATAAAAATATTTGAACGTCGATATAAGCATCCGTGTGTGTGTTCTTTTCAGAACTATTCCATTTGTGGATTAAAATAACAGGAAATGAGTATAAAAAAGGTTGTATCGACATTTTTCCACAATAAAATCATGGAACAATAGTAATTGATAACGGAATATTTCGAGAACTAAATTAAGAGAGACTTTCACATTTGAAAATATTCGCGAGAGAATTTGTAATAATTGAAATCTAAAAAAAGATGATATATTACTTCTTACTTATTACTACTTATTATTACTTATTATTTCTTATTGTTACTTATTATTAAAGTGATAAGTGATATATATATTAAGTAATATAAGATTGATTAACTTATTAAATTGATCTCGCACTTTCAAATCATCCATTTTTTATGGGATTCTGCGAAATTTTGAAATTTTCTAACTATTTGATTTGATTAAATTTTGAGCAACAACCTGTTAAGCCATCCTATCCCATTTGGGTAGATATTTAATAATCATTAAATGCCATTTTTACACCATTTTTTTTCAAAAATCTGTCGACTGTAAGGATAAAAGTAAAAGTTTTCATTTTATTGAAGAAAAATGTAAATATAAAAAATGTAAAAAAAACATTTTTAGCTGGCTGTCAGCACTGAATTTTCGTGTTTTACTTAGCCATTCGGCATCAGAATGGATCCAAGATTTATTACCATATTTAAACTGTAAAAATAATTATTTTTTCACTATTTTTCATCGATTATTCATGGATTGATAAATAATAATAACCACTGAAATTAGTTTACTGAGCCAACAATGTAGGAAAATGAAGTCCCAAGTGATTCTCTGGCCAAAGAGCCTTAGCAGCCAAATAGCCACAGCCAAGTAAGCAAGTGCTGATCGCTGTTAGATGAAGAGAAAAGGAAAGAAATTCATTTTTTTATGCTCTACAATTCAACAACAACTAAATATGTTTTATTAAGAAATATCACCAAAATAGATTTACAAATAAATATTTTATCAAATTTTGGCATTTTCACTCTTTCATTTTCTTTAAGAGTGATTGGTCAAAGTGTTATCGAAAAATCAAATATTGTCAAAACTTTTTTTATTTCTCAATTACTATTGTGAAGAGACACCAAAAAATTTGAGAAAATTGCAATAGAGTTTAAGGAATTTTGGGGAATAAAGATGGAATTCCCGTGCTTGCTAAGGCTTTTAATTAATCTCAAATGACTCCATGACACATAAGAGCTTTAATAGAGCCATCCGAGCCAAAAACGAAACATGCATTAGAAAAAAAAGGAAATATGCCTGCTTCGCATGAAATATCGTAGATTTCTGCTTTAAAACTCCACGAAAATTTCATTTTTTTACAAAAATATTCCAAGATAAAAGGTAATTTTCATAATTTATAATTTATTACAATTTGAATCACATTGCAATTAAATATAAATTTCCATATGTATTTTTTAAGAATATGAGGTTAACACTTTTGAACGATTCTGCCATCACTGGCGAAAGAATTATTATTCATAAAAACATTATTATTATTAAAAGGGGGAAATGAATTTATTCCATTGCGTTCGGTGCCAAGGTCTCGAAAATAACGATAGCATTTAAGCACAACATTAAACCACCAAATATACAATAGTACACTCACCGATAATACCACTATTACAGCCACAAGTACCATTCGGAGAACTGAAATTCAATTATATTCTGCATTTAAATTGCACAATTAGCAATGATTCTGCCATTCAGCCTTTTCCTATTGAATTCATTTTGCTTATTTTTTATAATTTAATAAAGATTTGCCCTTGAGGTGGAAATAAATAGT